AAAAAACCGGTTTGAAATTTTTTTTTTTGGGGGAAGTTTTTTTCCTTTTTTTCCCCCTTAAACTTTTAAATTTTTAATAGGAATTTTCCGGAAGCCATTTATTCCCCCTTTTTTAGACAAAGTTTTTTTTTCAGCACCGGGGGGGTTTTTTAAATTCGGCTCCGGCCCCCGGAATATCCTTTGTTTCCCCTTTTTGAAGGCGTTGCCCCAAAAAAAAAAAGAAATTTTTTAAATTCCTTGGGGGGGCCCCCCCAAAAAAAAAAGTTTTAAGGCAAAATTTTTATTTTTCCGGGGCAAATTTTTAACTTTAGCGGGGTTTTTTAATTCCGGGGCTTATTATACAAGTAAAGTTCCTAAAATGAATCCCCCCCCCCCCCCCCCTCTGAGGTTAGCGGCCAGACGATTACGGCATGCATGACTATGCCTGCACCCCCCCTCCCCCTCCCCGTAAACCAGAGGCCGATAACCCCCCCCCCCAACGCGCCCGTCGCTCGTCAATGAAATCTACGTGCAGGCTATCGAAGGATGCAAAACGCCTCGAGGGTGAGGTGGCGTCGGCGGCCCGCGCGCTGAGGGAGAGCCCGTCGACGGTGGAAGGTACGCTCAAGGAGGCGGCGGCAACACGGCGGCTGTTGGCCAAGCGCTCGAGGAAGCTCTCCTGCCTGTCCGCCAAGCAGCATGCCAAGGAGGCAGTCACCTCCGCTACCGCTTCCCCGCCCGCCACGGCGCACGAAAATGGTGGCCGGGTTGGGGCGGAAGCCGAAGCGGGATCCACGGCGGAAGAGGACAAGAAGGAGGTGGTGGAAGGGGAGGAAGACGACGACGAGGGAGAGGAGTTGGAAGGCGAGGACGAGCAGAAGGAAGAGGAGGAGGAGGGGTTGGAGGAGTCGGAGGTGGAGGAGGGGTCGGTGGTTTTGGGAGCCTTTGACCCCATCCCCGAGCTAAAGTCCAGGCTGAACGACAGGACAAACTCTCTCCGGTTCGTCACCGCGGACGAGGAGGCACAGATCCGGAAGGAAGAGCTGGCGATGGTCTTCTCCGGTCGGTCCAGCGGATCAACAGCGGCCAGCGGGGTGTCGGAGGAAGACGGCGGCAGCAGCAACAACGGTGGTGATGGTGATGATGACACAGGTGGGGATGCGGAGGAGGGGGAAAAAACTTCGGCCGACGACGTGGGCAGCGATTCCGGTCTAGGCGGTGGACGGGGAAGCGCCATGGGCCGGGTCAAGTCCTTCGGGGCAATCTTGGAGAGCACCCTGAGCAAGACCTTGGTTCCCGGCCCCCCGCCCTCCCGGTCTACCGGCCCGATCAGGAGGGCCAGCATGTCGGCGTTGCCCCCCCGGCCGGGGCGGGAGACCAGCGACAAGAAGAAGGCCGCTGTCATCGCCAAGGAGACGCCGTGGGAGCCCAAGTCTAAGTACTTCCGCTCCCTGCAGTCCGCGGCCGCCGCCGGCGACGGCAACGGCAACGACAGCAGCGGCGGCTCTCGCTCTCCTACCGGCGGCCTGCCCCCGCCCCCGCCGGCACCGATGTTGGGAATGCTGTCGCAGATCCGAGCCCGCGGCAACAACAACGGCGGCTCTCGCTCGACCGGCTGCCTGCCCCCCCCGCCGCCGCCCCCGCCCCCGCCGGCACCGATGCTGGGAATGCTGTCGGAGATCCGGGCGCGCGGCGGCGGCAGCGCCCGCGGCGTCGGTGGCACCCAGAGCGGCGGTAGCCAAGCGCCGGCCGGCATGGACGGTCTTCTGGCAGAGATTCGAGCGAGGCGCCGCTGAGGTCGAGACGCCCCCGTAGAGCTCCAAACTAGCCGAAGGGAAGGGCCTTCCATTTTTGTGATTTTGTTTTGTTTCTTGCACATGTAGTCGTGGCTCCGATATTAGAGGGTCAAAATCGGTCGTCACGGACAGAACCCGCTGGAGTGCAGTTGGGTGCCCTCTTACTCCGGTAAGAGAGGGGGTCTCGAAGGGCTTTGTAACACCACCAAATCACGGGGCCACCACTGTAAATGTCGGCTGTACAGCATACACTGTCTGAGTTACGTACTGGCGGGGCTGTTAATTGAGGTAGGTAGACTACGAGTGAAGTGAAGTATATGTCGTTTCGCTGCCTGTTGTATCACGTGTATCCCTATCACGTGTGTTTAGGAGAACACACCGGCCTGGGTTTTTACTTGTGGGTGTTTTGCATTCTGGTGTTGCTCTGGGTGCCTGTAACTGAAAACTGTGTGCGTACAGGTAGAGGTGAGGTGACCGGGTGCAACTTGTCACCCGCGACACCGACCCAACACAACTACTCTTATTTTTTATTTTTCATCCTTCCGGCATCTAGGCCGTCTGCTTTTGTCATCGGCGGCTGTCCTGTTCCCGCGCTTCTAGAATAAGCCCGCCTTGTTTTCGTGCAGGACTGCAAAGATTCTTGCGGGATCTATCCAGTTCTTGTGCTGTACTCGTTTTTTATGGGTCAGTCTAGAGGTCAGCAGGGCAATTTTGATGAGATTGGAGGGTTGTTTCTTTCAATCAAGATGTTTCGGTTTCGTACACGAACAATGGTGGGAAACGACATGTCGCGCACGTGCGCGGGAGCACGGGAAGATTTAGAATCGTATTTGTTGGTACAATGGTGTTTAACGGTTTCGTCGGTCGCTTGAGGGCGGTTTCATTTCATTCCTATCATGCGTGTTACAATGTCCACCCATCATTTCAGTACACTTATCGATAGATGGACATCAGCATCCACATCCACATATCCATTAAACAGGTAGGCTTTTGGATGGGGTTGTGATGTAGGCGTGTTTTGAGCGGTCGCTCGTTATGTTGGGTGGAATGTTGCAATGTTTTTGCGGTTGAAATGCGAGAAAAGGGACGTCAGAAGCGTTTCCTCGAACAACCTTCCCTCTGAAGGCGCTCGAGGGCTTTGTAACCCCGCAGTGTCGCTGTGCCGTGTTTCAGGTGTACGGGACCGCATTTTTTTTGCCTTCTTCGAGAGGAAGAAATTTCTGGAAAATTTCTTTGTTAACAGGTGTCGGAGACTCTTCCGTCTCCGGTTTTATCACTTTCATCCGATAGGGAGCTGTTTTACAATTCTGTTTGTTTTTCCGAAATGTGACTTAGAGTATGCCAATGTTTCCTTTATTTTAAGAAGACGAAGGTCGTCATGAGTCGGTTATTGCACACCGAATGGCAGGAGATGGAATGAGATAGGATGAGGGTCCGTGTGTGGGTCTTGTGGGTGTCGTGTCGTTTCCCTTTTATTTTTCCATGTCAGTGGATGGAATGGTCGAGGATGTGGGGTAGCTCCTGGGCATGCGGGTGAAGATGGGTTTAGCGCCCTCCTCCGATGCCATCATAGGGGGTCTAAACGGTCGGTATGGGGCTTGGGTACGGCTTGGGGTGACAGGCTACTGCTAAGTTGATGATGATGAGCAGGTTGCTTTGTACTGGGAGGGTCGTGAGTGGCTTCGAGGTGGCCGGTTGAAGCAGCAACTCTTGAAGCCTCGACGTTTTGATGCTGCGATGAGCAGCGGAGGTTGCTGTTTGTGCTGGGAGCGTTGTAACGGGCGGGGACGTGTCCTACATGTAGTAAAGATCCGAACGAGTGCTGGCGATGGGGTAGACAAATATCACCCCGTGTTTCACTGCACTTGTGGTAGCGATCTCGTTAGAATCCGATTCATCTCGCCAAGGTGGCCTGTGGTGTCAGACACAGAAGCGTCCTCGAAAGCCTGTACGTGACACACACGGGCGACGCACAGGATGCTCCATCAGCAAGCTACGTAGCAAGTTTTCGGTGAAAGATCAGTGTCCGCGACAACTCTATACAATATTGTAGTGTATTCATTGCAGAAAGACGAAACGAGCTATCAAATTTTCGTACATTACCCGTTGAGACATGGTATGAATTCATCAGAGCAGTATGTAGACACTTTGTGAACGTTCTTCGAAGCACAACATGACCGAAGTCACAACGACCTGAGGATGCTTGACAATAGAAAATGGCGGGGGTTAAGACAACTCGATACGCAGTGCTGTGCAGGCGATGACACCGACACCATAGGTGATCTTTCAAAAGGTGGACCACCACCTTGGGATTCATCCGCAACCCGACATGCGAATATCTTGCAAGCAAGGGTGTTCACACTAAGCGTACGCCGAGAAAAGTGAGTGAACACGAACTTGTGGTTGAACCGCGCAATGCCGAACAAAAGCTTATATTATATGGATAGAGAAGCACGGCTTTACCGTACCGTGAAGTTCGCCAAGTTCACTCAATGCTTTCTTCTGATCACGACGGGAAGCTCCTAATATTTTCTACCATTTTCGTGAAGCCTGTGCTTCTTCGCTCTAGTCCAAACGAAGGACCCAACTTCAAAGACATACCTCGTCTTCGACATTTTTTCGTCATTTGCGCGGGGAGTGTCCATCAGGTTTCGAGGATAGTCCCGCACCAATCCATTCACGGTGTCAGCTGAAGCGTGCTAGGAGCCAAAAGATTCGCCGTGAAAAACGGTGGGAAAAAGTCGTAGAACGAAGCGTTCTGAATTGTTCCCCGACATGATTGCTCCATATATTTGGCTTTTAGCTAGAAAGAAATATCAACAGCCTGGTCAACGGTGATGCGTCATGAAGCCACCAGGTTCCTCTGAGTATTGCAAAACAGGGACACGGAATAATATTTCCCGCCAGAATTCTCGAATCGTGTCTTGGATCTCCCCTCGCATCCTACGCTTGACTTGAGATTCATATATGAACAAATTCATTCATAGCAATCGATCGACAGAAGGTAGCAACAAACCCACGTGTTCCATCCACGGCGTACCACGTTCCTGAAAAACAGGAAGTGAAGATTCCTTATGCCGATAGGCTGCGCACGTATGGCGATCGATCAGTACCCTAAAAGACTGTTCACAACATTTCCAACACAAGTAACTCCGGCGTGCACGAGCCTGCATTGTAGCTGCACGTGCGTGCGTGTATACATGATCGATTCATAAGCGACGTGGAGGGGTTCTCGCCATAACGTCGCCTCGATCGTCGCACAATCTTCACGCGGCAGAGGCCTGAGCCAATTTCCGCGCAGAAGGAAATGCCCCCTGAAGGAGCGAAGGCATATCAACAAAAGGGAAAACACGTGGTACGGTGTCCGAAAAAATCTGAACCAGGTTTGTGTGGGTCACCTTTGCTTCTCTTCTCCTCATGACTGCTCTTGGGCTCTATGCTTTGGTGGCCAGCGTTGGGATAAGCAAACCAGACACCCAGCCACGCACGTGCGGCAACACCACCGAGGGTGGTTGAGTGACTGCGGAGGGCCGTCAATCCGTTGACACCTCTAAATCACATTTCATCCCTCCAAACGACTGCCACCCACCCTTCTTTCTCCACCCGCGCGCGTGCGTTCGAGTGGGCGCAACGTGTGTGCGTCACACAGTCTTTTCTAGCACTCCTGCGAGCGTATGATTGGGCGAGGTGTGTAATGGCCACTCCGTCGGAAGGGGGTTGACATGAGCGCTGCGTGTTCCCGTCACGACTGTTCTCTCTCCCTTTCGAAGCTCCCGGCGGAGTTTGCTGCAATATCGAGTCCAATTCCTCAATTTTTCATTTCATTCGGTGGTGAACCATCAAAATTGGAGTACACGTCCAACTCGAATACCACACTTCCCAGCAGACAGCGCCCTCTCTAATCGTCAACCTCGCTCTGACAGGCTTGAGCTTGGAACAAAACATAGATCTACTGCAAGACGGTCATCATATGAGACGAGGTCCCTCGCAAGCACCGGAGACCACGGGGAACATGATACTCTTTCAACGACCAGCATGTGGCCATGGTTGCACGCCAAACGCAGTCCCTCGAAGGGATACCCCTTGCTCCTCTGTCTACAACGGCTACAAGCATGGCCCCAATGTAGAAGGGCGGTGAGACCAAGACCCCTGAAACATCGGAGCCCTTATTCTCGAATATCAGAGCCACGGCTGTAAAGGTACAGGAGAAGTGCCGGTGCCCGGTATAGTGACGGTGCTTTCGGCGGGCACACCGCAGTAGTGAATTCCGAGTCATTCTCAATACTTTGATTAGTGCCGGTCCGGCATAATGCCGATAAATTATCTTGGCACCTACCGGCACAAAACAGGAACGTCTACTGTAACGCCATCAACCAATGACACGAAATGACACGATATGACGTTAAGCGAAGTCGTGGGTTGTCCCGTCTGCGAGGGTAAGCGCTCCTTTCCCCTGGTAGGAGATGTGATCTCGCACCCACTCCCCCTCGAACTTCTCCCCGTTTGCGAAGACACAGATGCCCTGCCCGTGTCGGAGGCCTCTGTCCCAGCTGTGTGGAGGTAACGCCGACAGGTGGAGGTGCAGATGAAGGCGTCGTTAAGGTTGGTCATTTTTTTCGCGGTGTACGAAGACGAAGCGGCTACTTCGGCTCCCTTCGTGAGGGGTGGTTAGAGTCATGTTGGAGAGCGCGCCTCACATGGGTGCCGAAAACATCGGAAAGCTTTTGACCTGCGACTCCGACTATTTTACACAACCTGGGGCCATCTCAAAAAGCCTTTCCTGCGCATACCAACACAAAATGACAAAAAAGAGACCCATTCGACACGACAACCTCCCCTCCGCTTTCCCGTCCCTAGGGTTAGGGTTAGGGAAAAATTGCCATCGTACCCTCCGGTGAAGATGTCCCCGTTCGAGTACTTGTAGGTCCCGGTGCCGTGCGGAACGCCTTCCAGGACCGTTCCGGCGAAATGATCCCCGTTCGCGAAGCGTATTCTCCACTCCGTCTGACGAGGACAACAAACATTCCGAATGGCAAATAAAGAAAAAAAAAAGTCAGCATAACGAGTGGACAGTGGACAGAAGAGTCACACCGAATAGAAGAAATAGTGACACCGAATGAAGAAAATGATACACCTAACCATATAAGTAATCAGGGAGGCACATCGGATGGGACAAGATTTGTTGCATCGAACGGAAGAAATAGGCAGAGGTAAAGGGTGGCGAAGGTAGATTCCTTGGAATAGCAAAACGCGGTTGCCGCCATCGGGAACAGCGCGATCCTGCACAGAGTGACAAACACGCTCCTGAGAATGAAAACTACCAAGACACAATCTATTTTGTAGGAGGCTGCCGTGCCTTCATTCTTTCGGTGCGGCTCGCACGTGAAAAACGTGGTCAAACAAAACATCGCTGGCACTGTAAGGAAAGACCGGATTTCCTCCAGAGAGCGAGAGCGAGAGCGAGAGAGCAAGACGACACAATACACTGCACCCGGGGAGACAGGAGTGAATCAGAGGCCGTATCAGAGGATTCACACGCAAACACAGAGGATTCACGTGGAAATATAAGAGATGGCCATAGAGGCACTGCGGCGATAAACTCTGGGACCTGCCCGGAGACATGACCAATGAATGAGACACCGAATCCATTAAGCGTACGACCCTGCAGTACTTTGCTCATCGACTGCAGCCAAATAGGATCATAAGCAACAACGACGACAAAAACAACAAACGCCACACCAAGTCGGTTCACACCTTTTCTCCGACCCCTTAGACATGGAGCAATCTTCAAAATGAAGTAATTCACTTCCACCAAAAATCGAACAATCTTGAGAAATGAAATACTCGACCTACCCCAATCACAAGCACCCAGAACAAAAAAAGGGAATGACAAGATAATGGCGTGTTGGTACACTTGCACCACAAATGGCAATAGTGTAAAATCTGCCACAGAAAAACACATAGCTTGTCTTGTCCTCACGTCTCCTTCCTGAGGCCTGGACTTGACCCACTCCCCTTCCAGAGTATCGCCTTCCGCAGTAAGTAGAGACCCCGATCCGTGCTTCTCGCCTTCTCGGAACATTCCTAGGAACGGTTCCAATAAAGCACACAAAACCGAAGGACGGGGGGGTAGGGGACACAAAAAATATGGGTTAAAGCTCCTCCCAGCACAACGGTACAATCTGGGAGCTAGCCAGCCCAAATCATAAATTGATCGATGATGCATCATTCGTGAAAGTTTCAAAGCGTTTCGAGTGCCGTCCGCAGTACACAAATCGTGGTGGTCAGATGCATCTTGGGCATTTCTGCCCCGGCCTTAACGAAGGTTAGGGATAGGTAAGAGTCAGGGCAAACGCTGGCCTTAGCCACAACGCAGGGGAGGTCCAGGCGGATCACAAGACAATTCCTGCATGTCAAGTATTCCCTTCCCAACAGCGTGGAAATGGCCATTGGTTCAGCGCAAAATCCTTGCTTGAATACTGGAAACATGTAGCGTAAAAGAGACAAATCCAAACTGGAGTCCTACACAACCAAGTGTTCTGGTTGTTGCATGGACTTTCTGAGCTGAGGCTGCATGATGATACAGCTCCGCGGCGAAAACTTTCCGGCGACCAGGGCTAATTAACCATGGATGGCTATTCCAATACCACTCTGTTCCACAATACAACGGCCATTCGGATACAAGGGGCGAATACCATACGTGCTGTTGCCGTCGTTGTCTTCACACTAAAAAACCGTTCCGTTCTCTCTACCCAGTGCCTTCTTCTGTCCGTACTGCTGTAGTCAAACACTAGACGCGGTATATTCCCGTGGTCACAGGCTACCTTTCCCCCCAAAAGTTACACGACTTGCATCATGCCGAACACAGTGAAGAGCAGTCAATACCTTCATATCGGGCCCCGGTCGGGAGCGTGAGAGTCCCTTCCCCAGAATATCGACCGTTGTGCCACTCTCCTGAGTATGCTGGGAAAAAAAAGCGGGAATAACGATAGCGTTGTCGGTCGAAAGGTTTCTAGGCAGAAAAGCAGAGCAACCAGTGGTGAATATCACAAACCTACATAGAAATAAAAAACGCGTGATGTACCACCACGCTCGAAAGCATGTGCACGGGGTTCGATTCCATCGGTGGCAGTTGGGTTTCCTGGGCGTAGTTAGTTGGATGCGTTCGAAGGTAGGCAAACGTGCCTACTTGAAGATGTTGGGTGCAGGGATGACATGTCGAAACAATGGACCGACACCTCAACTAGCAATTCCACTGTCATGGGACAGCTGTGGACAAAACGAACCAGATGGCCTAATAGTGTAGGCTGTTGCTGCTGCTGCTGCTGCTGCTGCTGCAGAGATGCACTGGGAACACCGTGCGGTGGAGATACCTGTTCCATCCTTTTCCGTGGACTGCCCCACCCCCGACATCTGTCCAGCACGCCACTCGCCGACATACTCCAAGCCAGACTTCGCTGTCCATCGACCAACGCCTTCTCGCTGGCCATGGACAAACTGATAGACAGGGAAATACAACAGGAAAAAGGTCATGTGGGAGGGAGAAGAATACCGGTAGTCAGTGGGATACCGTTCCGTAGAGTGTCGTTGATGTGGGAAAGGGATACAGTATCGGTCCGTGGAGTGTCGTCGTTTTGTGGAATTGGGCTGCGAGGAGACGAAGGGGTCCCAATGTCGAAATGTCGGGATAGCCGAGGTGTGCCGGTAGAGCAAAAAAAGCAGAGTGAAATGTTTACTAGAACGAAAGAGAGCAGGCAGGGGGCACGCAGACCCTAACACTAAACCATACTTAGGCGATTCTATACTTAAACCAGTATATTTTCTTTCGTAGGAAAACCTGCGTGGGTTACTTTCAAGGCTACAGCAGATATCAATGCAATGCTAGATCAACGCGCAGGTCATGCATACGGACTCACCCACGACGGCACACACATACCTCCCCGTCGTAGACGTTCCCTCTGGCATCGCAGTGAACGCCTCCTCCGTGAAACTCCCCGTCCTTCCAACGACCGCTGTACGTCTCTGTGCCCCTGATGACCGAGTTGCCCACTCCAGTTCTCTTGTCATCCACCCTGACGAAGGCAAACAACAACAGCAACAACAACAACAACAACAACAACAGTCAGCTCGGTTCCGTCAATGGCGAGGGTTTGGACACATCGGAGAAAGCGTCATACTCGAGGGGTGTGTCACTATGAGGCTCCGTGGGAAGGACTTCAGCAGCACCGTCCTCTTGAGTAGCATTTGCTGATAGAATCTTGAGTTTCCGACTGCGAGAGATAAGGGCCTTGACTTGAGCCGTCAGATGACTTTGTTGGATTGGATATTGACATGATGAGGATGAAGATCACGTCAGAATATACATGTAGGGAACGACAGCACCGTGATCTACCGGAGATTTCCAGGGATTTTCTCTACTCCCCAACAATTGTGGGAGGTAAGAACTAGATGGCCTTCAGAAGCTGTCATTCGACTAGACACACACAACACAACAGCATGCCGGGATGAGAGGCACGGTGATCTACCGTCGTGGAAATTTCCTGGAATCTTCTTTCCTCACCATTCTCCGTCATAGACGAAATCCTTGTCACCGGAAGTAAGCACCCCTCGCCCGTGTCGAGCGTCTTCGACCCAGTCCCCCTGCAACGAAAGTTGTTGTTGTGGTTGGTGGTGGTGGTGGTGGTGATGGTGATGTTGTTGTCTTCACATAAACATATCGTTCCGATCTCCTTATGCAGCACCTTCATCTTTCCTTACTGGTCCAACTGACGCGGGCGCCTTACGTGGTCACAGACCAACGATAATACCCCCAAAAAAATGCAAAAACAAACAAAAACACGAAACGGCTGAGGGACAATCACGCGCGCGTGCGTGCGTGTGTTGCAACAAAGAACAACAACTGTAATAGAAGTGTCCAGTCACCAAACGGAAAAATATGAACTTCTCCATAAAATGGACCATAAAATGGAACAAATCGAGAAAGTAATGGTACCCATCGTCGAATACAATACTGTGATCACTATTGTACAGTTCCGCAAAGGAGAGGAGTCCTTCTGCGTGATGAAAGGTTACTAGCGCTGATTCAAAGTCATGGAATGCTGTGAGCACTGATTCAAATTGATGAGACGTTATTTGCGCTGATTCAAAGTGATGGAATGCTGTGAGCGCCAACTGAAAAAAAAATACTACAGCAACTACCCACCTCATAACTGTTCCCAGTGGCCCGTTCCTCGTACACGCCCACGCCGTGCCGACGCCCGTTCTGCCACGAACCGGTATAGGTGTCCCCGCTATTCTCGTACGTGTACGTCTTAACGCCAGACCGCGGGGCCCCTTCTGAACCCGCCTTCTTGGCACTACTGCTGCTGCTGCTTCTAACGTCGTCGATGAAAAAGGCGCCCGCGCCCGCTAGCCCGTTGCTGCACAGCAGCGCATTCGCCAGCGTGCTGCCACTGCCGCTGCTGTTCGAAAATTTCGCTGTTGTTGGCGGACCGAGCGCAGCTTTATTGGGATCGCTGTTGCTGTTGCTGTTGCTGTTTCCGCCATCGCCGGGCTCCGAGCGCAGCGACGATGATGGTGGTAACGCCTCCGAGGGGTTTCCATTGGCGCCCGCGAGGCGGTGCGATGACTGCCACACGCCGAAGTTCTCCGACTCTGTCCACAGCTCCGACCACCTGGTGTGAGTGGCCCGTTCATTCATTGGGATGGGGTACACATTACAGGAAGCGAGGAGTTTAGGGGACGCAGACCTTGGGAGTAGTGAACCTGAAAAACGCAATTCTTCATGAGAAACAAATAGTTCCGTCCGTGACGCTACATACCGCAAGGTTCGGTGGTAGACAAGGATGAGAAACCTTCTTTGCACCGATGAGCGTAGACCCATGCATGCACACACAGAAAACAAAGTACTTAAAACGAAGTCGTTGCCATCAGGAATCTACACGCTGGGTCAGATACACAGCCGTTTCCTGTTTCCAATAAATACGCTAGCGCTAAAAAAACAGAGGTTCGGCAGAGCCATCCTTTGCCGTGCTCGGCTTACCGTTGGCCGTGTGATTCTAGAGCCGCCGCTACCGGGACGGGCCCTGACCCGTTGAGCCAGGTAGCTGTCTGCTGCCATGCCTGATGTTTGCATTCGGAGGGACGGGTGTAGGAGATAGAAAAACAAGGGTGGTGCTGGTGGTGACTAGGTTTAACTGGCAACGGCAACGACTGCTCAAATCGAAAATTGCAAAAAGAGAGGGGCAGAGGTGCCGCGATCTGGTGATCGCACCGTTGCCAAAAAGCACTCAACCAGACAGATTTGCACCACCACTGTCTTCATGCCCCTGCCGATCGGTTCAGACGTGCACACGCAGAGGAAGAGAAAAAAGAGCGGATAGGCAGTCCGAGCATCCTGCCTATCACCCTCTCATCCCCACCTTGTTGAGGCCGATGCCATCCAGGGTGGGGGTGACCACCCCAGCGATCATCTTCATCGCCGAGCCCCTCCCGCCGTCTTCCAATGCAGCCTTTCGCCTCTGCTCCTCCTCTTCCTCCTCTCGTCTACGGGCTTCTTCGAGGCTGGCATTTCGCGCCAAGCACCTTGTGAAACACATATACCCGAAAGTATTAAGAAAGAAATGAGTGAGTCGGACAGAGGATGAAGCCAGACAACTGGTGTCCCGCGAAGTCACAAGAAAAGAGATGGCATTAAAAGAATGGACAAATTTGAAAGCATGAGAGAGGACAGCGGCAGCAGCAGCTACGGAATAGACAGATCCGGACCGTGGTGCATGCAATGATACCTGAACAATTTACGCCGTAAACCAGACATCTTCCGTGCCGAAATCGCCAAACGAAAGTACGCATTTCTCGCAATTCCGGTGAACCAAAAAAAAAGAAAAGCGATGAAAAAAGACGCACAGTTGTGAAAACGATCATCATCCACACAACCACAAGAAGGGTAACAACGACCCTTCCTGATGATCGACCAACACCAACACTCCAAGACAAGACAAGACAAGACAAGACAAGACAAGACAAGACAAGACAAGACAAGACAAGACAAGACAAGACAAGACAAGACAAGACAAGACAAGACAAGACAAGACAAGACAAGATAAGACAAGACAAGAAAAGATAAGAAAAGACAACATAAGCACACTGCAGACACTCACTCCGCAGCCGTGGTCACCAGGTCTTCGAAGTGAAGCTGGAACTGGTCTGCTATCCAAGCCGAGGAGCCCTGCCACCCAACGCCCTCCATCGAACCGTCGCCCCCCACCCCTCCCCCTAAATGCCTCTTCGTTGCTCGAACTAGCTCCCTTTCCAGTGGAAAAACAAAGCCGAGCGGGCAATAAAACAGACAAGACAACGCAAGGGGGTTCGGAAATGAGCATGATGTAGGTGTGATTCACGCGCTCCCCGCTCCTCTGCTCATGTGTATCTTGTTGACACGAACCCCACCCTCGCACACAGTGGGAAAAACATTGGCGTCGTTGGAGATGATACGTTAACAGCAACAGCAGTTTCAGGCTATTTCCTAGAGAGAGGAAGCATGCCAGATGCAAGGTTGCTGAAGTGGCTTGTCAAAGTTACAAGAGAAGCCCATGGTGTGATGTACGGGAAGGCCTGATTGAGCGTGTTTTCCGTCTAGGCACTCGCCCCTCCTAACAGGGCAGGCGCTACTACTACTACTGCTGGCAACGTAAAGCCACAGTAGTGGGAGCCCAATGGCCAGCAAAAAGAGAGAGAGGAAACAACGCTCTCCCAACCTCCCGCTTTCATCTTTCAGCGCTCGGTTACTTCCTTCACACGACATATATGCACGAAGCCTGCACAGAAGGCAATTCTCTCCCTCTGCTACCGGTGCTTCGTGAATGCCTCTCATGCGTTCGCCCACCCGGAAAGGAATGGAGCGGTTTGAAGGAGGAGACGGGACAAAGATTGGGGGGAATCGCAACTAACTCTACTTGTTCTCGTTTGTGTGCCAAATCTCCACACACAAAAAACACCCCCGCCCAAACAGCAGCAGTACCGGCAACAACAGCAATAGCAAAACAACAACCAGCAGAAAGCGAACGGAGTTACCTTACCTTGCGAAGCTTCTATCTGGCTCCCCCATGTCCAGAGCCGCCTTGGCCCTCTCCGTCTTACCCCACCTAGCCTCCCATGTGTCGACATTGAGCAGCAGGTCTAGGTTCGCGTTGGGCATGACTTGCATCATGGTGTTGGTAGTACCTGCATGCATGTGGGTGTTCTTGGCGTTACTCCTACTATCATCGCATAGACGGAAGTGTTTGCGACATTAGGTAAGCTTTTCGGAGGCACCAGCCGGAGTTACGCAGTAGGAAGGCCACACAAACGAGATTATTGTATTATCCGCGTTCCTTCTGCGGTTTTCTTTTCATGTTTCATGTTTCATGTCTTCAATTCTATCAGGACACGGTGGAACCGTGACAGGAAAGACTGAGATGGAAATCCAGAACAAAACACACACACAGGAAATAAAAGTTCCCTAGCGTTTCTACACAAGCTTTCGAGACAGCAAGGCGGCAAGCTCTGCTCCGTAGTCACAACACCGACAGCACCCTCACCAACAACAACGCCAACACCACCACCAACAACTACAACAACAACAACAACGATGGCAATGACGACGACAGCAGCAGCAACCATAGGACGGCACGGGACGTATCACAGCATCCATCACCCGGACGACTTGCCTGCGAAAAAGCCATCCTTCGCCAAGACATCCGCCGCTCCCGCTATCACTACCAGCGGTTCCAACGGCGCTTCCTGCAGCAGCAGAAAAAAAACAGGACAGGACAACACGAACGTGCAATCGAACAGGTTGACAAACAACCAGGCACCTCTGGCGAGAAAAGAAAGATTGTGACTACCCACTTCTGGCGAAAGAAAGGGCGAGCGAATGGGGGCGCGTGAGAAGAGTACACGGCTGAAGCAGAATCAGATGCACGCTGGCTCACGAATAAACTCGAGGGACAAAACACCCGAATCATCCGCAACGCTTGACCGAACAACAATAGAGGGCATCCTCCTCGTCCAACTTAACAAGCGGTTTAGGGCTAGGTATAATAGTGGTTTTAGGTGTTGCCATGAAAAGAGTACCATACACAGCTGAATCGGCAGCAGGTGCACGCTGGCTCACGAATACACTCGAGGGAGAAAACAGTCGAACTATTCGATCGAGTAACAAGAATTCGAGGGAGACGATACTCAACCTATCCGCGACGTTCGATCTAGCAACTAGAGTTGAGGGAGAAAAGAGTGGAACTGTCCGCAACGTTCGATCTAGCAACTAGAGTTGAGGGAGGAAACAGAGGAACTGTCCGCGACGTTCGATCTAGCAACTAGAATTGAGGGAGGAAACAGAGGAACTGTCCGCGACGTTCGATCTAGCAACTAGAGTTGAGGGAGGAAACAGTGGAACTGTCCGCAACGTTCGATCTAGCAACTAGAGTTGAGGGAGGAAACAGAGGAACTGTCCGCGACGTTCGATCTAGCAACTAGAGTTGAGGGAGGAAACAGAGGAACTGTCCGCGACGTTGGATCTAGCAACTAGAGTTGAGGGAGGAAAGAGTGGAACTGTCCGCAACGTTCGATCTAGCAACTAGAGTTGAGGGAGGAAACAGTGGAACTGTCCGCGACGTTCGATCTAGCAACTAGAGTTGAGGGAGGAAAGAGTGGAACTGTCCGCAACGTTCGATCTAGCAACTAGAGTTGAGGGAGGAAACAGAGGAACTGTCCGCGACGTTCGATCTAGCAACTAGAGTTGAGGGAGAAAAGAGTGGAACTGTCCGCAACGTTCGATCTAGCAACTAGAGTTGAGGGAGGAAAGAGTGGAACTGTCCGCAACGTTCGATCTAGCAACTAGAGTTGAGGGAGAAAAGGCGAACACCCCACGAAAACACGAAAAGCGGGCTAGGTACGGTACGAATAGTGATAATGGTGGTCCCTCAAACGTTAACGAGCTCAGTTCTCCTATCCCAGCCACAGTGGACGACAACACATCCGCGTGCAGTCCGACTCAAAGCAACTTCTCGCGCTTGTTAGAATCTTCATCTCCGTCTCTAGATACCGCCAGGCACGCAGTCGAGTATAAGAAACGGACAAGATATGCCCTACCATGCTAGCCACCAATGCGGTGTTGGGGGGTAAGTAGACTCGAGAAAGACAGACGAGGCCGAAATCAAGGAGTGAACGAGCAGCCGAAACTTCCGAAGCAAGAATCGCAACATAACAAGAAAAGGAAACGGTCGACCAACGACAACGTTATCATCCAGCACGCATGCACGTCACCTTTCGGAACAGCTTTAGCGGAAACCCGTGCTTTCGCCACCGGTATGCCTTCAACCCGAAGCCGGGTGGGTCCAACCGACCAAGCCCGAGGGGTAGACTTCCCGGCAGCAACGACGCTACCGCCATCACTGGCATTCACGAAGATACGGGGATGAAAGTTGTCAGAAATTGTCGTCGAATCTACATTATACAAACGAGATGCCGACCTTCCCTTTTCCAATCACTGCCAGAGAAGAACGTACAGGGAAAAAAAGTTGTAGGAAATCGCAATGTAGTCTACATTGTACGGACAAGATTTCGTCTGCGGTCCAGGACTTCCAATTTTCCGATTTCACTGCTGGAATATTAGCAGCGAAAACAAATTTATTCGTCGCAGTTTCATTGCCAGATAACCCCTGCTGGCGTGTCTAAATCCCACACCGGAAACGGGGGAAGACGGACGTCTATTGTACAACAAATGGGACGACAACACAGGAAGGGGCGGAGAGAGAGAGATGGCACACCCGCTGGACAGACGTTCAAAGCTTGGTTGCTGCACAACCAAAGTGGGCGCGGAAAGCACCCGATACTTCTACGGAAAGCCCTCCACTGGAGGTGTTTCCAGCACCACCATTATTGGGGTTGGCGCAAGCTTGGTTGAAGACCAATCAAGCCTTGCAAGTCGGTCGAGGGGGGATGACATCTCTCCGCCTCTTACTGTACGGTGCTCACACAAGAGAGGGATGCTGTGAAAAACATGATAACACAACAAGCGAAAAATTAAAAAAAAATTAAACAAAAATATCTCACCGGCCTCCGATACGGTGGCCGCGCTCTTGGCGCAGAACAACACCCTTCCTTCGAGGAGAAGCAGCCGAAGGACCGCCAGCAGCTTGCTCCTGAGCTTGAGGAGGACCGTAGGCACCGGCAAATCCTTTCCAAACGAGGGAGAGAATCAAGATGCAAAGGGCAACACCAAGAGAGAGGGAAGGAAGACGTTAGCAGACCACGACAAGCCTGAGGGTGAGGTAGGTCCATTGCTAAGAGAGCTTGTGGTTATTCTGCTGCCACATCATCTCACGCAGTACTGCCACGCCTATGCTGCTACATAGTCCTGCGGCAGTCACCCAGGCTGTCGTGGCCATCAAGTCAACCACAGCCGTAGCAGCCACCACCGGCTGACACACATCACACATCACACATCACACATCACACATCACACATCACACATCACACATCACACATAGGGCATAGGGTAGGTGGCCTTCACACCTGATAGACGGAGCTGTGCCCGAGGTCCTCGAAGCGTGTCTCCCTCAGGTCAGCCGCCAATGCTGCCAGCTGCCCGGCACACCCGCTCCTACAAGAAAGTCGAACAATAACATGACTCATTGTTATTATAGTTCACAGCAGCATATGCATCATCACATCCACTGTGAGTATGTCATCTTCCGTCCCCTTGGAGGCCTTCCAGAAACGCCAGAGCGTCATCGGCCCAATGCGAGTTTACAGCAGCGCATGCTTCATCAAGTGTTCGCCAAACAAGTGTCGCCCAAACAAGTGTCGCCCTTTCTCCACGTTCACAAACCGCCATATCGTCATGGCGTCATTGCAAGTTCACAACAGGGCATGCAAAATACCGTGTTCGCGAAACAACTTCGGTACCCTTCACTCCAATCAGAAACGTCATGGCGTCATTGCCGAGTTCACAGCAGCAAGTACATGGTCAAATCGACTGTGTGAGTGCGTCATCTTCCACGCATGTCGCGGTCACATCCATCATGTGACCATGGAATCACGTGCTCGCAAATCTACGTCAGTCTCCGTCACTTCTTCAAGAAAACGCGGTACAGTAACTGCGTCAGCGCGAGTTCACAGCATCCCATGTGCTCGAGCATTCGCTCCGGTCCCCTTCAACCCTTCAAGAAAAGTCATGCAGAAAAAAACTGGATTCCACCAGCGGGGCAATCTGCACTACTAATAGTGGCGTAAGCTGGAGGCAGTAGGGGTTTCCGATCAAGAAAACGGCGACTCCGATTCATCCCACGGTAACTGTCGACCTCAGGGAAAAGACGGCCAAGTCTCGTTTGCTTGACGAACGTTGGCGAAATTTGTGCTTTCAGAAAATGCGAAACTTGGGGCGCCAATTTCATGGGGTTTCACGAAAACAACCAGCTACTACCAGCTACTTTTCGCCAATGTTGCAGTACACTCATGCTACGTCAGGTTGACGAGC